AAAAGTTGCAATTGTATTACTAAAAGCAAGTGCCCTTTAAATCAACAGTGCCTCGTTAATAACATAGTGTATCAAGCCACTCTATATCCAGGCACTCCAGACGGGATTGAAAAAGTGTATTTTGGAGTTAGTGAAACTGCTTTTAAACTTAGATACGCTAATCATACAAAATCTTTTAAGATAGAAAAATATAAAAACGATACTGAGTTGTCTAAGGAAGTATGGAAGTTAAAAGAAAATGGATTATTAAACCCGACAATTAAATGGAAAATTTTAAAACGTTGTAGATCTTACAATCCCACAATAAAACGATGCAACTTATGTCTATACGAAAAGTATTTCATAATATCGTACACCTATGATAACTTATTAAATAAGAGGAATGAATTAGTATCTAAATGTAGACATAAAAGCAAGTTTCTCCTTTCGAATTTCGATACGGGTGATTAGGCAGCCGTTTTTAGTTTTTTGTTTTTGTTTTGTTTTGACGACGGAGCACACTCCACTGTAACTTTATATTTTAACGGTTTTTTTTGTTTCTTGTTTTGTATTACATGGCTGATGATTGCCTTTAGGCATGAAACTATTAGTACCATAAAAAAGTTGTTTTCTTTATTTTTATAAATTAATATATATATATATATATATATATATATATATATATATATATATATATATATATATATATATATATATATATATATATATATAATCTAGATAAATAAAAACAATTAATTAGCAGGATTTCAGGACTTAAAGTTTCATGCCCAAAGGCAATCATCAGCAATATATACAAACAAAAAACATAAACAAACTGTAACAAACACTGTAGAATGACTTCTAACATTATAAATAAATACGTAAAAAACAAATCAAAAAACAAAAAACAAAAAGTCATTATTAGTCTCCTGTGTCAAATAAAGGTAAAAAGAATTTTTTTGAATGCTAACACTGAGATAAAATTACATTTTTTTGTGGCATATTTGTGTTGCTAGATTGTAAGGTTTGCAACATTTGACAACTTTCCATTCTATAATTGGCTATATATACATACATACATATATATAAATATACATATATATAGGTGTATGTATATATATATATATATATATATATGTATATATATATATATATATATATATATATATATATATATATATATATATATATATATATATATATATATATATATATATATATATATATATATATATATATATATATATATATATACATTAGGGTGATGCAAAATTTGTAGGTTCAAAACTTTAGTTGTCCTCAAGCTTGCCCTTGTTCTATATGACAATAGTAGTTATTGGCCAAAATTTGAATCAAATCGGATGATATTTAGGGGTTGCCATGTTTTTTCACATTTTGGTATAAGGTTACAAAAAGTAAAAAAAATATTTTTTATTTTTACATTTTTTATATTATATTACTGAATTATTTATTATCAATTTCTTATTATTATGTGGTGGATTGTGGATGTTCAATGTTAAAAAAATCAATACTATAGTACTACTATGTAATTGCACTAGGCAATAATAAATCAATCATCTTCATCATTCAACAGTCATCTTCATCAGGGTAGACTTTGATGCAACTGGAAATTCTTTCCGGTAAAGATCAACCAATCTAAGAAGAAACTGCTTTTGGTTTTCATCTTTCGTAATGCTTGAGTTAAAGGATGTTATAAGTGCTATGCCTCATTCCGCGCAATCGTTGACGACTTTCATTTGACCAACCTTGTGCTTCATTTCAAGATATGTTGAATCCATTTCCCACTCTGAAGATTCTTTCATTAAAAATGATTCAGCTTTTTCTTTTCCATTTTTCAAAATTAGATCAAAAAGTTCTGCGGTGCATTGTGTGACGAAGGAAGGCAATGGGCTGTGACAATCGAATGTGGCAGCATCAAGTCTTTTGAGAGATTTCTGCCTTGGCTGTTGTTTCAGGTTGTTTGCCATGTCTCTCTTGGTGTTGTTGTTGACACGGGAATTGAAGAAAGCCAATCCTATTAGATGTTCAGAAAAATACCAGAGGTGGCGATGAAAAGCTTTTGCTGCATTAATTGCAATTGTACGATTTGGATATTCTTGAATCCGTTGAAGAAGCTTGGCATCATTGAATGGTGCTCGTTCAGCTAACGGAGTTTCATTCCAAAACTGTCCGTATACAAATGCCACAAAAAGACTTATATCTGTTATTCCTTCCTTTTCCTTTGCAGTAATAACAAATTGATCCTGAAACAAATATATCTTTATACAATATATAGCTTTTGCCATCCAACGTGCATTGTGTGTTGCACCTAGAGCCCGAAACTTCACTTTGAACTCCGATGTTGTAGTTGATCCTCCAAGAAAAATAAGGCACAAATTCAAGAGTTCTAAGTAATCATCCCTGGGTTGTTGACCTTTAATTGCTTCACTATAATATACTACCATTTCTTCACGGAGTTTGAGAAAAAAATCGCAGTTGTAAAATTCTTTATTCCCTATAGTGAATACCTCCTTGTTGATTGCTGGTCATTGTTTCTGGAAACGGTTAAAAATTCCAACTTCAGGTCCTCCACTGGTTCCAAATGCAGTCGTGAAAATGGTGGAAAGCATGACTTTAAACATATGGTGCCTGCATGCTATCCATATAAGATTACGGTCAAGATTCTGCTCCATTATTGTGCAGGCACCAATGTTCAACCCAGTGTTAGATGAAGTAGTGTCAAAAACCAGTCCCCGAACAAGTACTTTCAATTTCCAGTCTTTAAGAGCCTTCATGCAAGCATCAGCCTGTTGCTCACCTGTACCTCGATCAATCTTTGGAACGCCCAGCAATTTTTCCACCCCACCACCAGTCACAAGGATGGCAATTCTATCCACTTTTTTTTGACCACCAGTGATATCAGGTAAGAGCTTTCCATCCCAATGCAGAAGAAGTGGATCATCAGGAGAGAAATCAACCTTGTCAGCTGTAGTCACCGCTTCACGAACAGATCGCCTTTTTCTGCGGATTGTGCTGTACGACAATGATAAATCTTTTACCGAGTGACCAAGAGCCTGAGACACTGTTCCAACCACGAAGAGTGCACGGCGATCAGAAATATTAACACGATCAAGAGATGATACAACATTATTTGTTAGAACTTTCATCTTCTTTTTCGTTGAACCACTTGTACTCAGTGTGCTGGAAGCGGAAGGAGTCTGATATACATCATCATCAGAGGAACTAGAGCTACTTTCACTCACAATGTCAACTGCTGATGAAGAAGAAATGAGTTCTGTTTTTTCCATCAGTTCCGCTTGACTTCTTTGATGCCTCAATTCCATTTTAGTTTCTCGGACTCGTTTCCGTGCCTCCCTAGCTGTTAAATTCCGATCAACTCCTGCCATACTACAACTTAATGGATCTTCTTGCTGCTGACGTAAAAATGCTTTATCTTCATCGTTTTTCATAACTTCTGATGCATTCTTGGTTGAAATATCAAAAAGTTCTTCAAGGTCAGCGTGGAAAATTCCTTCTTTCATTTGACAGCTGTCCAATTTTGATCCTCTGTGTTTTTTCAGCAGCAGATATTCGTCATAAAGTTTTTTTAACTTTCTTTCCGCATTGTCAATTCTTTGAGTTGGAATTTTTCCTCTCTCCCATATAACAAGAACTGCTTCAATTGTTGCCCGAATACTTTTTTTCACTTCTTGTTTCTCTTCTATATGATGGAAAGCAACCTCCAAAGAACATCCCCTCTTGAAGGAAGTCTGGCAGTCGACAGAGTTTGTGTAGGTTTACCAACAAGCCACACCTCAGCAGAAGATCTAGTGGTTGCCATATTATCAATTTCTAAATTATAAATAAATAAACAATGAAAAAACGATTTTGCGAAATTTGAGAAAATCACAAAATTTTACCAATGGTTAATTCATCTTATAAAACATGGCAACCCCTAAAATTGCTTCTTTTAGTCTAATTTTTGGTACACATGATCCTAGGTGATAAAGGAACACAGGCAACCTTGAGGAGAATGTTTTTTGTGACATTTTTTTTTTCTATTACAATCTGAATCACCCTAATATACATATATATATATACAAAATATATATATATATATATATATATATATATATATATATATATATATATATACATACATATATATACATATATATATAAATATACATATATACATATATACATATATATATATATATATATATATATATATATATATATATATATATACAAAATAGATTGATTGCCCAAACCCTCAGCTATAAGAAAGTCGATGTAGCAGCACTCTCTTGTAGCAGCAGGTTATAAGACAGTTTATGTAGCAGCACTCACGCGCATCTTTTAAAAATATGTTTCTAAAAACAAAAACACTATTAATTAAAAAAACTTTCTAGTCATTATTGTGGTTTTTTAAATAACAATAAAACCTAATGTACTTCCACATTATTTTTATTGTTTTAACTTTTAGACAATATTAAAATATAGGTTATTTGTTGAAGTCATTAAAATGTTGTTGAAAGAGGCTTTTTTACCATAAAAGTCTAGTTTACCAAAAAAGAAATAATTTTCCTTTAATTAATTATATTCGTTTATTCAGACAACATTGCAGAATTTGCAATTCAGTCCTAATAGTTTGTACTTTATTTCAATCTTCTTCTTTTACAAATTAATTAAAAAATGAGCTTTCATCCGTAATCTAATTCTGTAGTTTAATTAGTTAAAAATACAATTCCTTGATAGCAACCTTCATAATCAACGAAGATATCAAAAGAAGTTAAATTTACATGAAAACTATAACTTTTGTATCATCATATTTGTTTGAACTTAAATTTAATTAAAATTTAAACATTTTGTTTTAAAAAAATACTTCAAAAGACATTCATTTTTTTTTAAATAATAGTTTTTTTGCAATTCTAAAATTATGATTTTTACATAAAAAGATAAAAATAAAAAAATTAATTATAAATACATAACATAAAAATAAAAATCACATAATTTACCTTCTTGTATAAGAAAAGAAGAAGATATTGATTGGCCAGAAAGAAGTTCTTGGTAAACTTGAGCTGTTTGATCAAACGCTTGCATCAAAAGACCACATGACTTTTGATAATCACAGCGTGCTATTGTTGATATCTAGATATTACATTTATATAATGAAATATACTCAATATTATAATAGAGATTTTTATAACTAATTATAACTACTAATATAGTTAAACGTTATTGAAAACATATTTTCATTGGTATTAACAGATGATGATGATGATGATGATGATGATGATGATGATGATGATGATGATGATGATGATGATGATGATTTTATATGAATAGTTATTTTTTACACATAGTAGTAAAAAGAATTTTATTGTGCAAAAAAATTTAATATGTAACTAAATTAAAACAAGTATGCAGAATACTGTGCAAGTATACAGAACATTGTTCAAATATGCAGAACACAGTGCAAATATACAGAACATTGTTCAAGTATGCAGAACACAGTGCAAATATGCAGAAACTGTTCAAATATGAAGAGCACTGGTCAAGTAAGCAAAATAACATTTTTGACTCTCAAAAGCAAGAGCAATTAGAAAATTCAACAAAGGATAAACTTGTTTTTCAGAACTAAATGGGTCATTAGTATCAAGGACTAAAAAAGGGTCATTAGTATCAAGGACAAAAAGAGAGTCATTAGTATTATGAGAAAAATTTAAAGATAATGGTTACACATTTTTTACTTTATTTTTTACTTTGCAATAAAATTTTTTATCAATGACAAAAGCCAACATTACAAATTTTATAATCCAACCATTTCTAATAAAATTTCAAAAACACATTTAACCAACTAAAATTAGTAAACTCTATTATAATAACAAACAGCAATCTAATACAACCTCATGCTCTGCTATCTTTAATTAGTGTTAAGGCCATAAAAAGGCGCACATTGATACAACTTTAGATTAGCAAATAGAAATGAACTGCAAAACTGTTTGAAATTTCAGGACCGATGACATTGGTTTCCAAGTGGAATGGCACTATTCATCAATTTCTAAAAAAGTCCTCTATATCTAGAAATTTCTTGGAAAAAAAATAAAAATAGTAAAAAAAAAGGGAAAAAAGTTTTCTCTCCAACTGCATATTTCTAAATGTTTTTTGATTAGAGCTAACACTGCTTCTAAATGTTTTTTGATTAGGGCTAACACTCTCCGACTGCTTCTAAATGTTTTTTTAACTCAATTACTTTACTGCTTAATTATTCCTTTATTTACTTTATTGTTCTTTTTCTCTGGATTTTTCTGAGCCCATTTGCATTATTTATATACCAATATTGTTGTTATTGATAACTTTAATGCTAACCAACCTGAACAACTTGGTTCACAAGGCAGCTTAAGACTTTTGCAGTTCTGCTGAAAACTTTCTAATCCATCATGAGATTTTATTTCTAATCATAGTCATTCTTTTTTCACTAGAACAACTCTCTTGAAAACTTCTTTTTCTCATTGCAAGAAATCAATGGAAATAGATATTGTTTAATGCTAAGGTCCATTATTCTCAAAATACTAATATTTTATCACATAACTTTGGTTCTAGAAACTTCCATAAAATCTTTATAAGAAAAGATTTTATATAGATGCAGTGAGGACAAATTTTCCTTTTACCATATCAAAAGTATTATTGCTCTTACCTTATCAAAATCTTATCAATAAGGTTTGGCATGCTGGTCTGCTCCATAAGCTCTGATCATATCAAAATCTTATCAATAAGGTTTGGCATGCTGGTCTGCTCCATAAGCTCTGATCATATCAAAATCTTATCAATAAGGTTTGGCATGCTGGTCTGCTCCATAAGCTCTGATCATATCAAAATCTTATCAATAAGGTTTGGCATGCTGGTCTGCTCCATAAGCTCTGATCATATCAAAATCTTATCAATAAGGTTTGGCATGCTGGTCTGCTCCATAAGCTCTGATCATATCAAAATCTTATCAATAAGGTTTGGCATGCTGGTCTGCTCCATAAGCTCTGATCATATCTGGAAAAACTCCCAAAAATATAGAGCTATTTCTTATTGCAGTATTAAAGTCATATTTGATAAACAACTAAGTTCCTAGGACTAAAAAATATTTCTTAGGACTAATAAATATTTCTTAGGACTAATAAATATTTCTTAGGACTAGAAAATATTTTTTAGGACTAATAAATATTTCTGAGGACTAATAAATATTTCTTTTTTATTGCAGTATTAAAATCATATTTGAAGAACAGTTCCTAAAGTTCCTAGAGTTTCTAAAACTATTGAACTATTTTAACTTTGTTGCAGTATTAAAAACCATATTTTATGAATAATACTCCATTAGTTCCAGTATCCTCAGTAGTACGACCAGGTTTTATCCTTGGTCCTGTATTATTTATTATCTTTTTATTAATATTACAGTTAATAAGATCAAAATAAAAATCTTTCTAATCACACCTTTCTGATCATTGTATACTCCAGTCTTTACAA